CCTGCATATAGTTTAAACCTTGGTGCCGAATTTCAGAGCTCTAGACTAAATAATGTGGAGTCTCTCGTGATTTCAACAGACAGTCAGACGGACATTCGGACATATTCCGATCAAAAAAATATAATTTTTTTTTGGTCTCCGACGAGTTTTTTGGGTTGTTACAGACAATTTCCAAATCCCAAAAATCCAAAGCAAATAATTCTTTTATTTTTTTTTCAAATGTGGCATCGTTCTATGTTCGTGTAGTTCTACAGACGTGGATTTTTTTTTTTTTAAAGTCGTGGATTATTTAAATATATATTTTTTTTTAAATTAACAACAATGTGGATTTTTTAAAAAATATTTTTTCCAAATTAACAACAGACGTGGATATTTTAAAAATTATTTTTTTCAAACTAACAACGGACGTGGATTTTTTAAAAAATATTTTTTCAAACTAACAACAGACGTGGATTTGTTTAAAAATATTTTTTCAAACTAACAACAGACGTAGATTTTTTAAAAAATATTTTTTCAAAGTAGCATTAGACGTGGATTTTTTAAAAAATATTTTTTCAAATTAACAACAGACGTGGATTTTTTAATAAATATTTTTTCAAATTAAAAACAGACGTGGATTTTTTAAAAAAATATTTTTTCAAATTAAAAACTGACGTGGATTTTTTAAAAATATTTTTTCAAATTAAAAACAGACGTGGATTTTTTAAAAATATTTTTTTCAAATTAACAACAGTCGAGGATTTTTTAAAAAAAAATATTTTTCAAATTAACAACAGACGTGGATTTTTTAAAAAATATTTTTTTCAAGTTAACAACAGTCGTGGATTTTTTTAAAAAATATTTTTTCAAACTAACAACAGACGTGGATTTTTTAAAAAATATTTTTTTCAAACTAATAACGGACGTGGATTTTTTAAAAAATATTTTTTTCAAACTAACAACGGACGTAGATTTTTCAAAAAATATTTTTTTCAAACTAACAACAGACGTGGACTTTTTAAAAAAAATATTTTTTTAAACTAACAACAGACGTGGATTTTTTAAAAAATATTTTTTCGAAGTAACAACAGACGTGGATTTTTTAAAAAATATTTTTTCAAATTAACAACAGACGTGGATTTTTTAAAAAATATTTTTTCGAAGTTACAACAGACGTGGATTTTTTAAAAAATATTTTTTTCAAACTAACAACAGACGTGGATTTTTTAAAAAATATTTTTTTCAAACTAACAACAGACGTGGATTTTTTAAAAAATATTTTTTTCAAACTAACAACAGACGTGGTTTTTTAAAAAAATATTTTTTTCAAACTAACAACAGACGTTGATTTATTAAAAAATATTTTTTTTAAATTAACAACAGACATGGATTTTTTAAAAAATATTTTTTTTCAAATAAACAACAGACGTGGATTTTTTAAAAAATATTTTTTCGAACTAACAACAGACGTGGATTTTTTAAAGAATATTTTTTTAAAATTAACAACAGACGTGGATTTTTTTAAAAAATATTTTTTCAAATTAACAACAGACGTGGATTTTTTAAAAAATATTTTTTCAAATTAACATCAGACGTGGATTTTTTAAAAAATATTTTTTCAATTTAACAACAGACGTGGATTTTTTAAAAAATATTTTTTCAAACTAACAACAGACGTGGGTATTTTAAAAAATATTTTTTTTCAAATTAACAACAGACGTGGATTTTTTAAAAAATATTTTTTCAAATTAACAACAGACGTGGATTTTTTAAAAAATGTTTTTTCAAATTAAAAACAGACGTGGATTTTTTAAAAAATATTTTTTCAAATTAACAACAGACGTGGATTTTTTAAAAAATGTTTTTTCAAATTAAAAACAGACGTGGATTTTTTAAAAAATATTTTTTCAAATTAACAACAGTCGTGGATTTTTTAAAAAAATATTTTTTTGGAAGACGTGATTTCCCAATCCCAAAAAATTATTTTTTTTTTCAAATCTGGCATCGTTCTAGGTTCGTGTTGTTCTACATTGCTCTTCACTCGGTTTTTGAGATCGGCATAGAGTTGTTGTTGTTGGTGTTTTCTTTTGTTTTTTGTGCTGTGTTACAGTAACATAGTTTCAACTGGTTTTTTGTTCTGAACCGCAACGCCACGCTTCAGTGGTGGTGTTGCGGTATTGGCTTGAGGTTGAGAACAAATGTTGTTGCTGCTGTTGTATTTCAATGTCTGTCCTTATGCTGAGACAAGTTGAGTGACTGGCTAACTACCGTGATTGCATTTTCACACACACACACACACACACACACACGCACACAGACTAAGAAAAGTTCACCAAGAGATGAGATGCCAGTTGGAGTTCGAGTTGTTGCTTCCGTCTTAAGACCGAACGCCAACCGGTGCTGGAAATGTTTGAAATTGCCAGACACATGAAAAATTCTTAACAGTTTGTTTACAATTCTGGGTGCACACGCACGTCTCAGAAAAATATTTTTTTTTTTGAAATAAAAAATTAAAATAAAAAAAATAATGAGATTTTAATTTATTTTGCGAATTGATGGCAGCTGAAGAAACCGAAAAAAATTGAAATTTTAAAACAATAAAAAAATACCAACAAAGGAATCGAAAAAAAGGTGCGAAAACACAAAGAAAAATTTAAATAGTCGAAGGTGAAAGTCAAAACATTTTTCAACCTAATTTTGTAACGTCTGATGACTTTGGCAACCAGTGAACCCAAACTAACCGGCCAAACACCTCAAATGCTATTAAAAAAATCAAACCAAAAATGAAAAAACGCAGCAAGTTGTAAGACAAATATTTCACTATTTTTATACCCTCAGCCATATGGCTACAGAGGGTATATATCATTTGATACGGCCAAAACGTGCCTAGTCGAAATAACGGTTTTAGACCCTAGGTCTCTTTGGACCAAATCCGTTTCAGAACATTTCGAGTCGATCTAGCGATGTCCGTCCGTCCGTCCGTCCGTCTGTCTGTCTGTCTGTCTGTCTGGCTGGCTGGTGCGCACGATAACTCTCGAAGGGAGTATCCAATTTGGTCCAAACTTGGTACATCGTAATATTTTTGTCAAACTTAGATCGAGTTCGGAGATGGGCAATATCGGTCCACTCCTTCTGGTACCTCCCCCACAAAAGTTCGAAATTTTCAAAAAATTTAATTTTTGCACAGAAAGAGAAATTATAGTCCGATTTTGCTCCAACTTTGCAAATCTTAATATTTGAGTCAGTGTGAGGTCGGGTGTGAAAATGGAAAATATCGGCCCACTCCATCAAGTACCTCCCCCACAAATGGTAAAAATTTTGAATAATCACAACTCTCATAAAATGTGATGTAAGAGTCTGATTGTCTTGAAATTTCACACATCCTAATATTTATATTAACCCAAGATCTGATGTTAAGATGGAATATACCGGTCCACTCCTTCTGGTACCTCCCCCACAAAAGGTCGAAATTTGCAAAAAATATATTTTTTGCACAAAAAGAGAAAGGATAATCCGATTTTGCTCTCACTTTGCAAATCCTAATATTTTCATCAGTTCTACGTTAGGTGTAAAAATGGACAATATCGGTTCACTCCTTCAAGTACCTCCCCCACAAATGGTCAAAATTTTTAATAATTACAACTCTCATAAAATGTGATGTATGAGTCCGATTGTCTTCGAATGGCGCACATCCCAATATTTATATTAACCCAAGCTCTGGTGTTAAGATGGAGTATATCGGTCCACATCTTATGGTACCTCCCCCACAAATGGTCGAAAATTTGAGATATATATTTTCTGCACAGAAAGGAAGCAATAATCTAATTTTGAAAAACATAACGCTCAAAGAAAGCGAAATAAGGATTAAACTCCTTTCAAATTTCACACATACAAATTATTTTTGCTAACACAAGATCTGTTTTGAAGATGATCCTATATATCTGCGAACAACTTCTGGTACCTCACCCACAAAAAAACACATTTTTCAATATTTTTATCTGTCATAAATTGCGAAACAACTCAGTGATTCTTTACAATTCCTATATCCATCTGCTATAATAATATTTATATCATATTTATGTAGGTCCGATACGAGATTGACAATATTGACCCATTCTTTAAAAACCCACTCCATAGAGGGTGAAGAGGGCTGAGGGTATACATCTGTCGGCAAAGCCGACCGATACTTTTTTACTTGTTTGTTTTTTTTTCAACCGGTTTAACCTTTTTTTTTCGAAACATTTGATGCTGGTCAATGATTATCCAGAGACTGGATAGATGAATTTGTTTAAATTGAAACACAAAAATAAAAAAAAAAAAAAACAAAATCGTATTTAATTCAACTGGAACTCAGACTAGGGTTTAGTTCATTGTCGGATTCACAAGCATTCAATGGATGCAGGCCATAATTCGGAGAATAAAAAATTTCTATAAAAAAAAAAAAATAAAAATTGAAGCTTTAAAAATCGAATAGCAAACATAAAATAAAATTTAAAAAAAATTGTTAAAATTCCGCAAAAATTTCGTCCTGATAATATGAGTAACCGGTTCAAAAATCCACATTTTTCTAATATTACTGATCGAATTGTACTTAGCCATATTCTGGTTAGTATTTAAACGGGAAACGGGAATGAAAATTTTGAATTTTTTCGAAAACAAAAAAAAGTAACCGGTTCCACAACTAAAATATTCAAGGCATTTCAAGGTGAATTTTGTTTTCAAATACAGCAATTTAAATAAATAATAAAACTACTTGAGAAAAATAGAAAAAAATTGCACATTATGCACATGGTTATCTCAAAATGAGTAACCGGTTCAAAAAGATGGAAAAAATATTTAATTTTTGGGCAGAAGTACTTTTTTATATAATGCTATTCAGTAAGAATAGTAAACACAAAATAAAAATTAAAAAAATATTTCAAAAAACCGTAATATTTCGTTAAGATCATATGAGTAACCGGTTCAAAAATCCACATTACTCAAATATTAGTGATCGATTTTTATTTTTCTATATTCTGGATAGAATTTAAACAGGAAACGGGAATGAAAATTTGAATTTTTCGATAAACGGAAAAAAGTAACCGGTTCCATAACTAAAATATTCGAGGCATTTCAAGGTGAATTTTGTTTACAAATACAATTACATAAAAAAAACTAATAAAAATACATCAGAAAAAAAATATAAAAAACTACATATTTTAGATATTAACAAATGAGTAACCGGTTCAAAAAGATGGAAAAAATATTTTATTTTGGGTAGAAGTATTTGATTTTATGCCAAGACTAGTGAACATATAATAAAGCTTAAGAAATATTCTAAGAAACCGTAATATTTTTTTCAGGATACTATGAGTAACCGGTTCAAAAATCCACATTATTCAAATATTAGTGATCCAATTGTACTTAGCCATATTCTGGTTAGTATTTAAACGGGAAATTGGAATGAAAATTTGAATTTTTCGTTAAATGGAAAAAAGTAACCGGTTCCATAACTAAAATATTCGAGCAATTCAAGGTGAATTTTGTTTACAAATACAATTATATAAATAACTAATAAAAATACCTAAGAAAAAATATAAAAAACTACATATTTTAGATACCCCAAAACGAGTAACCGGTTCGAAAACTTTGAAAAAATAAATTCACTTTTGGTAGGAATATTTGATTAGTGAACATTTAATAAAACGTAAAAAATATTCTAAAAACCCATAATATATACTCAAGATAATATGGGAGACCGGTTCAAAAATTCACATTATTCAAATACTAGTGATCGATTTTTATTTTTCCATATTCAGGGTACAATTTAAATACGAAATGGCAATGAAAATTTTGAATTTTCCGTTAAACGAAAAAAAAGTAACCGGTTACACAACTTAAATATTCGAGGCATTTCAAGGTGAATTTTGTTTTCAAACAAACCTTTTTAAATAATTAATAAAAAATACTTGAGAAAAAATATAAAAAAACTACACATTTTAGATACCCCAAAATGAGTAACCGGTTCGAAAACTTTGAAAAAACAAATTCAATTTTGGGTAGTAATATTTTTTTTATATTGTTATTTAATAAGCAATAAGAATAATGATTAAAAAATTAAAATAATATTAGCGATCCAATTGTACTTAGTTATATTGTGGTTAGTATTTAAATGGGAAAACGGGAATGAAAATTTTGAATTTTTCGTTAAACGGAAAAAAGTAACCGGTTCCATACCTAAAATATTCAAGGCATTTCAAGGTGAATTTTGTTTACAAATACAATTACATAAAAAACTAATAAAAATACCACAGAAAAAATATAAAAAACTACATATTTTGGATACCGCAAAATGAGTAACCGGTTCGAAAACTTTGAAAATATAAATTCAATTTTGGGTAGTAATATTTGATTTTATGCCAAGATTAGTGAACATATAATATAAGTTATAAAATATTCTAATAAACCGTAATATTTTTTCAGGATACTATGAGTAACCGGTTCTAAAATCCACATTTTTCTAATATTAGTGATCGAATTGTACTTAGCCATATTCTGGTTAGTATTTAAACGGGAAACTGGAATGAAAATTTGATTTTTTTCGTTAAACAGAAAAAAGTAACCGGTTCCATAACTAAAATATTCAAGGCATTTTGAGGTGAATTTTGTTTTCAAATATAACAATTTAAGTAACTAAAAAAAAACCTTAGAAAAAAATATAAAAAAATGAATATTTTAAATAACCAAAAATAAGTAACCGGTTCAAAAAGATGGAAAATATATAATTTTTATTGGAAATGTTCGCTTTTATATTGTTATTTAGCAAGCAATAAGAATAATAAACAATACAATTGAAAATATTCTAAAAACCCATAATATTTAGTCAAGATAATATGAGTAACCGGTTCAAAAATCCACATTTTTCTAATATTAGTTATCCAATTGTACTAAGCAATATTTTGGTTACCATTTAAACAGGAAATGGCAATGAAAATTTGAAATTTTTCCGAATCACAAAAAAGTAACCGATTCCAAAACTAAAATATTCGAGTCATTTCAAGGTGAATTTTGTTTACAAATACAATTATATAAATAATACATAAGAAAAAAATATAAAAAACTACATATTTTAGATACAGCAAAATGAGTAACCGGTTCGAAAACTCTGCAAAAAATTAATTTAATTTTCGGTAGTAATATTTGATTTTATGCCAAGATTAGTGAACATATAATAAAATTTGAAAAATATTCTAAGAAACCGTAATATTTTTTCAGGATACTATGAGTAACCGGTTCAAAAAGGTGAAAATAATATTTAATTTTTGGGCAGAAATATTTGCTTTTATACTGTTATTTATTGAACAAAAAAAAAAAAAAAAAAAATCAAAAACTATTCCAAAACCCGTACTATTTCGTTAAGGTAATATGAGTAACCGGTTCAAAAATCAAAATTATTCAAATATAAGTGATCCCATTATGTTTAGCCATATTCTCGTTAGTATTTAAAAAGGAAACCGGAGTGGAAATTTGAGAATTTTCGTTAAACGGAAAAAAGTAACCGGTTCCAAAACTAATATTTTCGAGGCATTTCAAGGTTATTTTTGTTTCCAAATACAATTATATAAATAACTAATAAAAATACCTCAGAAAAAAATATAAAAAACTACATATTTTAGATACCCCAAAACGAGTAACCGGTTCGAACATTTTGAAAAAATAAATTCAATTCACCGGTTCAAAAAGGTGGAAATAGTATTTAATTTTTGGGCAGAAGTATTTGTTTTTATACTTTATTTGGTGAATACAAAATAAAAATTAAAAAACCAGTTCAAAGACCGTAATATTTCGTTAAGATAATATGAGTAACCGGTTCAAAAATCGAAATTATCCCAATATTAATGATCCCCTTGTGTTTATCGATATTCTCGCTAGTATTTAAACAGGAAACAGGAATGAAAAATTGAAATTTTTCCGAATCACAAAAAAGTAACCGGTTCCATAACTAGAATATTCGAGACATTTCAAGGTGAATTTTGTTTTCAAATACAGCAATTTAAACAACTAATAAAACTACTTGAGAAAAATACGAAAAACTGATCATTGTGGTTACTTCAAAATGAGTAACCGGTTCAAGAAGATGGAAAAAATATTTAATTTTTTGAAGGAAATATTTGTTTTTTACTGTTATTTATTGAACACAAAATAAAAATTAAAAAACTATTTCAAAACCCGTAATATTTTGTTAAGATAATATGAGTAACCGGTTTAAAAATCGAAATTATCGCAATATTAGTGGTCCCATTGTACTTAGCCATATTCTGGTTAGTATTTTAAAAGGAAATGGGTACGAAAATTTGAAATATTTTGCCAAACGTGAAAAAGTAACCGGTTCCAAAACTAAAATATTTGAGCCATTTCATGGTGAATTTTGTTTGCTAATAAAACTATTTAAATAACAAATAAGAAAAAATACAAAAAACTGATAATTATTTTTATCTAAAAACGAGTAACCGTTTCAAAAACTTGGCAAAAATACTCAATTTTTGGGGGGAAATATTTGTTTTCATACTTTTATTTAACATACAATAAGAATAACCTACATAAAATATAAAAATATTCTAAGAAACCGTAATATTTTGCCAGGATAATATGAGTAACCGGTTCAAAAATCTAAATTATCCCAATATTAGTGGTCTAATTGAACATAGCTATTTTCTGGTTAGTATTTAAAATAGGAATCGGGAATGAAAATTTGGACAATTTCGTTAAACGGATATGGGTAACCGGTTCCAAAACTTAAATATTCGACACATTTTAAAGTAAAATATGTTTTAAAATACCACATTTTTTATTACAAGTCATAATACCAAGAAAAAAAAAAAAATACCGAAAAACATATATAATATGGTTATCTCAAAACGAGTAACCGTTTCGAAAACTTCAGAAAATTATTAAAATTGTTACTAAAATTACTTATTTTAATTGTCATATTGAGCAAACAATGTGAATTCGTGGAATATAATCAAATATCCCAACCCTTCTCAGCCATTCTGTAACGAGTAACCGGTTTGAAATGTAAAATAATCCAAGAATTTTTGGGTAAAATTGATTCTAAAATACAATGTATTTAAAAATCAATGAAAATACGTGAAAAATTATACAAAACCCAATCGTTTGTACAAAAATAGTAATGAGTAACCGGTTTAAAACCGAATATAATAGAGTAATTTTTTGGGTAAAATAAACTCTAGAGCATTTTTTATAAATTTGTATATTTCTTAATAACTATTAAAAATACATGACAAAGTGACGTAAAAATCATGTAACCAAACGAGTAACCGGTTCAAAAACTGAATGATTTGGATAATTAAAACAATCCAAAAAAATGAATTAATGCCGTTTACGTAGGAAACAATGAGAATACTTGAAAATTATTGCAAAATCAAATTTTTCTTAGCTGCCTAGTAATGAGTAACCGGTTCAAATACTGAAATAATCGAACTATTTTTTGAGCGAAATAATTTCTAGTAATCGATATATTTAATAATATTTGAAAACCATTAAAAATGTATAAAAGAATAGTGGGAAATTTGCCCTATATCCATGCAGTTAAATGAGTAACCGGTTCAAAAATTTTAATAGTCGGAAAATGGTTGAATAAATTCATTTCTAAAATGTTATGTATTTAATAATTAATAAAAATTGAATTGAAAAGAATGCAATTTCTGCCATAGCTCCATGCAAATAAATGAGTAACCGGTTTAAAAGCTAAAATTATCGAATAATTTTTGAGTGAAATATTTTTCAAAGTACTTAATATTTAATAAGCTGTGAAAATAATTAGAAAATATCAAGAAAAAATCTCTATTTGGTACCGACAAATATATGAGTAACCGGTTCAAAATCTTATTTAATCGGAAAAAAATTTAATGAAAAATTTTCTAAATTACTTTTTATTTAATAATTAGTGAAAATAAATAGCAAATAACAAAAAAATATCTATTTGGTACCAACAAATATATGAGTAACCGGTTCAAAAACTTAATTAATCGAAAAAAAAATTAATAAAATGTTTTCTAAATTACATTTTATTTAATAAGCAGTGAAAATAAAAGAGAAAATAATAAAAAAATCTCTA